AACATAGATATACAGTACAACCTGGTGTCTTCTACCGAACATAGATATACAGTTCGACCTGATGTCTTCTACCGAACATAGATATACAGTTCGACCTGATGTCTTCTACCGAACATAGATATACAGTTCGACCTGATGTCTTCTACCGAACATAGATATACAGTTCGACCTGATGTCTTCTACCGAACATATATATACAGTTCAACCTGTTGTCTTCTACCGAACATAGATATACAGTTCGACCTGATGTCTTCTTCCGAACATAGATATACAGTTCAACCTGGTGTCTTCTACCGAACATAGATATACAGTTCAACCTGGTGTCTTCTACCGAACATAGATATACAGTTCGACCTGAATTGTCTTCTTCCGAACATAGATATACAGTTCAACCTGGTGTCTTCTTCTGAACATAGATATACAGTTCGACCTGATGTCTTCTACCGAACATAGATATACAGTTCAACCTGGTGTCTTCTTCCGAACATAGATATACAGTTCGACCTGGTGTCTTCTTCCGAACATAGATATACAGTTCAACCTGATGTCTTCTTCCGAACATAGATATACAGTTCAACCTGGTGTCTTCTACCGAACATATATATACAGTACAACCTGGTGATTTCTACCGAACATAGATATACAGTTCAACCTGGTGTCTTCTACCGAACATAGATATACAGTACAACCTGGTGTCTTCTTCCGAACATAGATATACAGTTCAACCTGATGTCTTCTTCCGAACATATATATACAGTTCAAACTGGTGTCTTCTACCGAACATATATATACAGTACAACCTGGTGTCTTCTACCGAACATAGATATACAGTACAACCTGGTGTCTTCTTCCGAACATAGATATACAGTTCGACCTGGTGTCTTCTACCGAACATAGATATACAGTACAACCAGACAGATATAAACAGTACAATCAGGTGTCTTCTACCGAACATAGATATACAGTACAATCTGGTGTCTCCTACCAAACATAGATATACAGTACAACCTGATGACTTCTACCGAACATAGATATACAGTTCGACCTGATGTCTTCTACCGAACATAGATATACAGTTCGACCTGATGTCTTCTACCGAACATAGATATACAGTTCGACCTGATGTCTTCTACCGAACATATATATACAGTTCAACCTGTTGTCTTCTACCGAACATAGATATACAGTTCGACCTGATGTCTTCTTCCGAACTTAGATATACAGTTCAACCTGGTGTCTTCTACCGAACATAGATATACAGTTCAACCTGGTGTCTTCTACCGAACATAGATATACAGTTCGACCTGAATTGTCTTCTACCGAACATAGATATACAGTTCAACCTGGTGTCTTCTTCTGAACATAGATATACAGTTCGACCTGATGTCTTCTACCGAACATAGATATACAGTTCGACCTGGTGTCTTCTTCCGAACATAGATATACAGTTCGACCTGGTGTCTTCTTCCGAACATAGATATACAGTTCAACCTGATGTCTTCTTCCGAACATAGATATACAGTTCAACCTGGTGTCTTCTACCGAACATATATATACAGTACAACCTGGTGTCTTCTACCGAACATAGATATACAGTTCAACCTGGTGTCTTCTACCGAACATAGATATACAGTACAACCTGGTGTCTTCTTCCGAACATAGATATACAGTTCAACCTGATGTCTTCTTCCGAACATATATATACAGTTCAAACTGGTGTCTTCTACCGAACATATATATACAGTACAACCTGGTGTCTTCTACCGAACATAGATATACAGTACAACCTGGTGTCTTCTTCCGAACATAGATATACAGTTCGACCTGGTGTCTTCTACCGAACATATATATACAGTACAACCTGGTGTCTTCTTCCGAACATAGATATACAGTTCAACCTGGTGTCTTATACCGAACATAGATATACCGTTCAACCTGATGTCTTCTTCCGAACATAGATATACAGTTCAACCTGGTGTCTTCTACCGAACATAGATATACAGTTCAACCTGTTGTCTTCTACCGGACATAGATATACAGTTCAACCTGATGTCTTCTTCCGAACATAGATATACAGTTCAACCTGGTGTCTTCTACCGAACAAAGATATACAGTTCAACCTGATGTCTTCTTCCGAACATAGATATACAGTTCAACCTGGTGTCTTCTACCGAACATAGATATACAGTTTAACCTGGTGTCTTCTACCGAACATATATATACAGTACAACCTGGTGTCTTCTACCGAACATAGATATACAGTTCAACCTGGTGTCTTCTACCGAACATAGATATACAGTTCAACCTGATGTCTTCTTCCGAACATAGATATACAGTTCAACCTGGTGTCTTCTACCGAACATAGATATACAGTTCAACCTGATGTCTTCTTCCGAACATAGATATACAGTTCAACCTGGTGTCTTCTACCGAACATAGATATACAGTTCAACCTGATGTCTTCTTCCGAACATAGATATACAGTTCAACCTGGTGTCTTCTACCGAACATATATATACAGTACAACCTGGTGTCTTCTACCGAACACAGATATACAGTACAACCTGGTGTCTTCTACCGAACATAGCTATACAGTACAACCTGTTGTCTTCTATACCGAACATAGATATACAGTACAACCTGTTATCTTCTATACTGAACACAGATATACAGTACAACCTGGTGTCTTCAACTTTACACAGATATCGAACATAGATATACAGTACAACCTTGTGTCCTCTACCGAACATAGATATACTGTAAACCTCTACAGCGTAAGACAAAGAGTTTCGATGTTGCTTAGAGATGTTGCTCCAGAGCTGTTAAATCTATATAGCAGAGTCTTCCTTTGAAAAGAAATACAAGTGTTTTTTTTTTTTTTTTTTTTTTTTTTTTTTTGGGGGGGGGTTGTTTTTTTTAAGATGCAATTGCTTTATAGAGGTCAGCTCTGTGGAGGTGGCACTGTATTTGCAATATACGTTGCACTAGTATATGTTATTACTTGAACTAGTATTGCTATAAGGTCATGATCCATGTATACATGTATATATGATTTCTTTTTTGAGATAGCCTTTTTAGATAACTAAACCATCATTTCAACCATCGCACTATATTGTTTATGTAACATTAATGTAAAAAAATAAAGCCGTTGACATCAATCCTATTTTTTCAGATATGAATACTTTTGTATAGCTGTGAACTTGCTTATATCTCAACAAATAGGGGCGTTGTACTCAGAATTGGCATGATAAAATTACTGAAATCAGTAGATGTCACCATATGTAGAACGTCATAACATATGCAAAATTTCAATGTTCAAATCGCAAACTTAATGTTGAAGTGGGTAGGCATTTAAATATAGTACCTTTTCAAGAACGCTTTTGCAATTTTTGTCTCGAAAATCATTTAACTTTTCACATTGTGAATATCATGCTCTTTTTTTTATTGTAGCAAATATCTAAAAATAAGAAATACCTATTTACAAAATTGGTATAATTCTGGGACTGAACTAGATAACTTTTATGAATGTTAATTTTGTAATTAAGAAAATTTCTGCTTATATTAACCATTTAATGATCTTTATAGCACAGTAGATAATTAAATGTAATAAGAATTTGTCATGAAATACGACACATTTTGTATGATATTGTATTTTGGGCCGGTGGCCTTTATTTAGCCTACTGAATAAATCATTTGACACGTAAAAATGCTGTATTCTCCCATTATATTTTAATTTCTAAGAATATTTAAATAAAAATATATTTATATTCGAATCTATTTAAAATGGTTACTTTCATATTTCACATTGGGCATCACTATACATTTTCCCATTCACAGCACATATAGGTTTGCCCATATTGGGGCCAGTGTTGGTTGGTATTTAACGTTATGGGAAATGCCTATATTGGGGCCAGTGTTGGTATTTAACGTTATGGGAAATGCCTATATTAAATCCGGCAACTCTTCTATAAAATTTGTCAATCCCAGCATATAGGCCTATATATAGTATATATAGATCTACTTATCACATAGATCTATTAATATTTCAATACAACCTAGTTTTGAGAAAATCACATTATTATATTTCAACGTCGAGACCCTATGATTTGTTTTTCAAAAATCAGCACATGTATTATCAAAACCTAATAGTTGAAAGATACTAAATTACATAAGCCCCGTGGATATTCATGGGTATACAAAAATAAACTAAATTTGTCCATTTTGATAAATGTTAGGATCCCATTGAAAATAATTTAAGCTGGCTATCCTTGTAAGTCCCATAATCTCTAAAAATAAAACAAAATCATTGTATTAATTTATGTTGTTCTCTGTATAAATACTGGTTCTTTTTTATCCTCCTTAATTTATTTATATTAATATAAAATGCCAGTAATTCTAAAACAGATTTTTGAGCTGTCATGCAGTTATTATGTCTCTATGTCTTAACTTATATTGATCACAGTCCAAGTCCATAATTTAATTTGTTTTATTAATCTTATGAAATAATACTTTTAGTTGTTACATGTATGTTTATGTTTATGTAACTGTGATCTCTGATGAACTGGAACAAAAAATATATTTTTGGTCCCAGATAAAAATAAACAAAAAGTATTTAAAAAGTTGTCTTTGTTATAAACATGTGTAGCTCTAATGTCAGTTCAATCTATACTTCCTGATTGCTGAAATATAATATGATATACATGTTCCAGCAAAGAATATGATTACGCTCTTGTATGTATACATATTCAATCAAGATCGAACTTGTTAAGATCTACGTTAATATAGATCTATTCTTGAAATCTTTACTGTAAACAGCCAGTATCGTTTTACTTAACCCCGAGGTTCATTCTTTTATAATTTGCTATAAAAAGACATCTAGAGGTGTGAAATATTGCTTTGTCATTTTTTTTATCATTTTATCAGGACATTGCACAATCAATAATTTACGTGGCCTGCGGAGATAGATCTCTATGTGTCAGCTGTGCTATTTTAAACATGACGTCATTCTAATTCGAGATTCTTCCAATGATAATCGCTGAAAATAACCACGTGATTAACTTATATAAATAGGCGAATTTCCGTTGTGCAGCAAGAACAGTCGCAAAACACACACACGAAAGAAACACGTATTATAATTGTTATATCAAAGGAGAACAAAGGTAAGTCGCATATTTTATTTCTCACTTTTAAACAAAGTAGATTCAGATGTTAATTATTAATTTTATTTAGGAAACTAAATAAATTTATTTTGTTTGTAAGAGATCTTTCCTTTGTAAGGCGGAAATCGATTTTGGGTTTGCCGTTACGATAACTGGATACTTTCAGAATCTGTTTATATTTTCATGAATAGATCTTACAGGTTTTGTATAATTAAATTCACGAGTTACAGATCTGTAAAAATAAGTAAGATACTGAGCAGTTATTTACAAGTTGTTAAAATTAAAGGAATTTGTTTATTTTCCAAGATGGCGGCTCATCTTTGTCTAGACTAGAGGTCACAGGAAATCAGCTGATTTTGAACAAGAAAAACGGCTGTCTTTTTATTTTTGATGAATAAATAGCTAGAAATAATGATGAATAGATCTAGTAACAAAGACTTTAAAAGTTTATAAATTCTTTGAAAGATATATTTATTTTCAATTTATGTCATGTATGTGTGTTGATTATTTTTTATGATTAATACTAACAGCTAAGTCATTGTTCTTTTCCAGATAAATATGCAGATCTTTGTGAAAACCCTCACTGGAAAGACCATCACCCTCGAGGTTGAGCCCTCAGATTCCATTGAAAATGTGAAGGCTAAGATTCAGGACAAAGAAGGTATTCCCCCAGATCAGCAGAGATTGATCTTTGCTGGCAAACAGTTGGAAGATGGCCGAACATTGTCAGATTACAACATCCAGAAGGAATCCACACTTCATCTTGTACTTCGTCTTAGAGGAGGTATGCAAATCTTTGTGAAAACCCTCACTGGAAAGACCATTACCCTCGAGGTTGAGCCCTCAGATTCCATTGAAAATGTGAAGGCTAAGATTCAGGACAAAGAAGGTATTCCCCCAGATCAGCAGAGATTGATCTTTGCTGGCAAACAGTTGGAAGATGGTCGTACTTTGTCAGATTACAACATCCAGAAGGAATCCACACTCCATCTTGTACTTCGTCTTAGAGGAGGTATGCAGATCTTTGTCAAGACCCTCACTGGCAAGACCATCACCCTCGAGGTTGAGCCCTCAGACTCAATTGAAAATGTGAAGGCAAAAATTCAGGATAAAGAAGGTATTCCCCCAGATCAGCAGAGATTAATCTTTGCTGGCAAACAGTTGGAAGATGGTCGTACTTTGTCAGATTACAACATCCAGAAGGAATCCACACTCCATCTTGTACTTCGTCTTAGAGGAGGTATGCAGATCTTTGTCAAGACCCTCACTGGCAAGACCATCACCCTCGAGGTTGAGCCCTCAGACTCAATTGAAAATGTGAAGGCAAAAATTCAGGATAAAGAAGGTATTCCCCCAGATCAGCAGAGATTGATCTTTGCTGGCAAACAGTTGGAAGATGGCCGAACATTGTCAGATTACAACATCCAGAAGGAATCCACACTTCATCTTGTACTACGTCTTAGAGGAGGTATGCAGATCTTTGTCAAGACCCTCACTGGCAAGACCATCACCCTCGAGGTTGAGCCCTCAGACTCTATCGAGAATGTGAAAGCAAAGATTCAGGATAAAGAAGGTATTCCCCCAGATCAGCAGAGATTGATCTTTGCTGGCAAACAGTTGGAAGATGGTCGTACTTTGTCAGATTACAACATCCAGAAGGAATCCACACTCCATCTTGTACTTCGTCTTAGAGGAGGTATGCAGATCTTTGTCAAGACCCTCACAGGTAAAACCATTACACTCGAGGTTGAGCCCTCAGATTCCATTGAAAATGTGAAGGCAAAGATTCAGGACAAAGAAGGTATTCCCCCAGATCAGCAGAGATTGATCTTTGCTGGCAAACAGTTGGAAGATGGTCGTACTTTGTCAGATTACAACATCCAGAAGGAATCCACACTTCATCTTGTACTTCGTCTTAGAGGAGGTATGCAGATCTTTGTCAAGACCCTCACAGGTAAAACCATTACACTCGAGGTTGAGCCCTCAGATTCCATTGAAAATGTGAAGGCAAAGATTCAGGACAAAGAAGGTATTCCCCCAGATCAGCAGAGATTGATCTTTGCTGGCAAACAGTTGGAAGATGGCCGAACATTGTCCGATTACAATATCCAGAAGGAATCCACACTCCATCTTGTACTTCGTCTTAGAGGAGGTAATTGTTCAATATTTAATTTTCACAACTTCCATATTTATTGACATAAGATTTTATTAAGTTCTAAATGCCATTTATGATAAAACTGATTTCTGTAAATAATAAATAAGATGTAATTTCTGATAACCACTGAATAAACTTTATCCACTTTGACTGTTTTCTTTGCATTTGAAAAGCAACATTTCTTAGATTTATTTAATTTCATTTTTCAGGTATGCAGATCTTTGTCAAGACCCTCACCGGCAAAACCATTACACTTGAGGTTGAGCCCTCAGATTCCATTGAAAATGTGAAGGCAAAGATTCAGGATAAAGAAGGTATCCCCCCAGATCAGCAGAGATTGATCTTTGCTGGCAAACAGTTGGAAGATGGTCGTACTTTGTCAGATTACAACATCCAGAAGGAATCCACACTTCATCTTGTACTTCGTCTAAGAGGAGGTAATTGTTCAATATTTAATTTTCACAACTTTCAAATATAACAGACAAATAAGATTTTATTAAATTCTATATTCCATTTAAGATGAATTCTAAATGCCATAAATAATTTAAGAAAACACTGATTTCTATAACTAATAAAAAAGATTAATGAATAATCATTACCCACTTGACTTTTTTTTACATTTGAAAAGCAACAATTCTAAGATTTTTAAATTTCATTTTTCAGGTATGCAGATCTTTGTTAAGACACTCACTGGCAAAACCATCACTCTAGAGGTTGAGCCCTCAGACTCAATTGAAAATGTTAAGGCAAAGATTCAGGACAAAGAAGGTATCCCCCCAGATCAGCAGAGATTGATCTTTGCTGGCAAACAGTTGGAAGATGGTCGTACTTTGTCAGATTACAACATCCAGAAGGAATCCACACTTCATCTAGTACTTCGTCTTAGAGGTGGCCAGTGAAAGTGTAACAAAAATGACATTTAATTTTAAAGTTTTGAACATTTTAGTCATAAGAGGAAAAGATGAAATTTCTGTTCTTCATTTTTAGTCTGTAACAAAAATGATTTTGGAATTTTAGTTTTCTGAAAAGTCTTACGTGAACAAAAACATCTTAATCTGTGCAATAAAATGAAGTAAATATTGAAAAAATTGTTGTAATCTTTGATATTACACACCTTTGTAAACTTGACATAATGGGTTTAACTATCATTTGATAGACAAAATGTGATTTTGTATTAGTCTGGTAAACTAGGTACCAAACTTGACTTAAGTTTGCCTTGATATAGTCTGGAGCAACAATTTGATATAGAAACACTGCGGTCTGGGTACTTGTATGTATGAAGATACATGGCTGGCAAATGTGTTCTACTTTTGGTGCCCACATTGCTTAATGGGTCTTTTTCTCAGCACTGGGAATGTTTACAATGTTTGGACCGTTTGGAAAATTTATCCCATGCTTACTATGTACTTTACTGCTGTAGTTCAAATCCCACTCTTGTGAAGAGACCTTTTAGTGAGCTGAAAGATCGAGTATGGTTCTACTTGCTCAAGGTGCCTTCAAAGCTTGAAAGTTGCTATACATTACCATGTCAGAAATTTGGCATCTGTGGCCAAGTGGTTAAGGATGTTGACTTTAAACCACTTTTTCCTATGCTATTTGTATTAAGAGTCCCAATATGGACCTTTGATTCTTTCATGTGTGGAAGCTATCCAGCTAGCTTATTGAAAGTCCGTGGCTCTACTCGGTGCAAGTTTGTTCCTGAAATAATGCCTTTTTCCACCAGTAAAGCTAGAATGTGACAATATGAACAGTGCAGCTTAAAACCCTACCTTATGACCATTTTCAGTATTAAACTGAATAAAAAGGTAAACTATTAGAAATTATGAGTCTTTATTACATGCTTTTCGGTGGTTTATAGAAATATATCAGTGATATAAAACTGGTAATTTCACTGTTTGAAACAGTGAAATTACCACTTTGATAATTTCACTGTTTTGAATTTAAGCCCCTTACGTTGTTTCAGTGAAATGCCAGCGTGCACAGAACTGGGTACCAACTTAATGACGTGACGTCGTAAATGACGTCAAGTTGTATTATTATTTGGCGCGCTTTCAATTCAATATTAGGTTTTATGTCTTTTTAAAACGTTTCTTTGCATATAATAAAAAGAAAATTTGTTAAGTTTAGTGTAAGATTGAAATTTATTACATGCTTTTCGGTGGTTTATAGAAATATATCAGTGATATAAAACTGGTAATTTCACTGTTTGAAACAGTGAAATTACCACTTTGATAATTTCACTGTTTTGAATTTAAGCCCCTTACGTTGTTTCAGTGAAATACCAGCGTGCACAGTACTGGGTACCAACTTAATGACGTGACGTCACAAATGACGTCACGTTGTATTATTATTTGGCGCGCTTTTCATTCAGTATTAGGTTAAATGTCTTTTTAAAACGTTTTCTTTGCATGTAATAAAAAGAAAATTTGTTTAGTTTAGTGTAAGATTGAAATATATTTCACCTTGTGAACACCAAAAGTTCATATTTCACTCGTGGCTGCGCCACTCGTGAAATATACCTTTTGGTGCTCACTCGGTGAAATATATTCTGATCTTATACTGAACTAAACAAATATCCTCTATATATTTCACCTTGTGAACACCAAAAGTTCATATTACACTCGTGGCAGCGCCACTCGTGAAATATACCTTTTGGTGCTCACTCGGTGAAATATATTCCGATCTTACACTGAACTAAACAAATATCCTCTATGTAATAGACAGACTTCACAGCAGCACTTTTAAAGATTTTTTTAGACAATTGTTATTTGGAAGCACCAGTGCATTTAAAATTTCCGTCGCATGTATTAAGACTTCTTTCAATAAACAAGAGCGGTCAGAAGGACAGTGTGCTTGACTATTCTCGGTGCTTGATAGTAAAACAAGGGTCAAGTTCAAAAAAGGCCATAATTATGTCGAAATCCATGAAAGAGTTGTGGGCCTTGGTCAGTGACCTATTATACTCTCAAGTACCCATTCTCTTCAGAACTTTTAACTGAACTTGCACACACAAACCAAACCAAAATATGACTGACGTCTTGATAGGTACAATAACTTTGCCTGTTTGAACAGTCTAGCTATAAATGATCACAGGAACTTGAAATTCTATCACTATGAACGATAATATGCAAAATATACCCCCTATATACTATATAAAAACTTAGTATATAGGGGGTATATTTGGATATTATCATTAATATTGGTTATTTGATAGAATTTAAAGTTCCTGTGAAATGATGTATGCTTGATCAGTCATCAAGATAAAATTAGATTTGAAAATGTTTTGTTATCCAAGAATAAGGCTATCAGTGCTTAGAGAAGATTAAGATTCAAACTTTCAGAACGCACTGCATTATCTACAACTGTATATGATAGACACGCTACATGTAAATAAGAGACACATGGTTATAGTGTTAATGTGGTTATAAAAAATTTTGGCAGGTTATATGCCCCAATATAAATGGTTGTTTGGAAATATAACCCGAGCCCCAAGGCAAACATTTTTTACAGAAAAAAAGTGAGATTTCTTCATAATTTGACATCAGTCATGTATATAATACTATAAAAATGTTGCAATTATTTAATGAAAAGCAACGCTGCAAATGTTCAGTATCATAAATCCTAAACTGGCTTACTGGGAAGGATACTGTTAAATAAGAAATAATTCCTTTTCCCCCCTTTATATTTATGATATCATGAATCAACATCAACATGAATATACTGGATACTAAATTAAAGTAAAAAAAAAGTTAGTTATCTGTTATTTTGGCATCTGAACTTTACTTGTATACAATATATTTACAGAGTTTAGAAAAGCAAGTTGATTTGGTCATGTAACATCAGATACAGTATGATGACAATAAATAAAATGATTACATCTAGTAAATTATTTAGTAAAAAATCTCCCACTTGATCATCGAAAAAAGTTCACATAATTGTATTCTTCAGCCACACTTCAAAGATGTAAGGATGATATTAAAGTTGCGTCTCTCATGATAATTGTGCATATTAGCAACCTGATAACTGAAATAACATCCGAGGCTACCCTAATATGCACTATTACCCTGAGAGACATGTTATTTTTTATTATACCAAACCAACATTATAATGTAATTTTTCACTGCTATGCATTATTGTCTCAGAGCTTTAACAGGGGAATGAACAAGAACATTATGTTTTGCTTAGTCTATATAGATTACTCTCCCCTGGGGAATATTGCAAAAATTAAATTGACCAGGTGATATTCATTTCCAGGATGATAGATTTAAATAACACCATGTGACATCACATTAGGCTATATACTGTAGTTCACATAAGGTATAATAAAATGGAATTATGAATGGATGGATTTAAAGATGAGAAGTGCGTTGCTAAAGAACCATCATTTTCTTTTGCATAGTTTTTGACTTATTGTCTTTTTTCATTCTAATATTTTTTGGCCAGATCTACATGATTTATTTACTCAAGGCATTTAACCTGATGACAAAGGCTGCAGGTAGGGATTTTTTTTACCAGAACAAATTGGCAGGTCTAGCTTTGCCATATGAATAGGTCTTTTTTTTTGTTGGGGGGGGGGGGGGGGGGGGAAGAAGAATTTGCACCACTCAAACCTACAGGGGACGAGAGGCAAGTGGTTTGATGACTAAAATCTTTACAACTCAGACAGGACTCCCCTAAATAGGTCTACATACCAGAGCTACTTTTAGCTACTGTAAACATACAGGAATCAATAAAGAAAATAAACAATATCAACATTTATTAATAATAAATGATATAATTATCACAGTTCAAACTTATAAAAGAACAATTCATGAGACAACTAAGTTATTATTGTAACAATTCAAAGGAAACTTTGTCATTTGGACAAATCTGAAATAAGCGCTCAGAAAAAAATCTCTTATTTCTTAACATTACCAAACTCCACAAATGAAGCCTTGGGTTACATTATTCCATTCTAACATTTTGAAATCATTTTCAGGTTCCACTGCCATTTGTAACTTGAATACATTTTATTTTTTGTGTCATGTAAAGATTAGCTTGCAGTTATCATAAAACAAAATGGATGGTGCATGTTGCATTATGCTACAAGCAAAATTGACTTGCCTGTGCTACCATTGAAAAAACCAGGTCCGGCTGCCTATCTTGTGTAGTCTGACCAGACCAGTTGTTATACTGTTCACTGCTGAATTATATGATTTTTTCATTGAAATTCTCTTTTACAAAGGACTAAATATAGCTGTCATTGATGGAAATTTTTGTATTTATACTCTTACATCAAGAGCTGAACATCAACAATGTATCCATTTTCTAAATCATGTGAATCAATATTGAATCAAATTTTAAATATCAAAGATGTAATCTATCCATTGACAGTCCTTAGTGCTAAACATTTTAAATCTAAAGTAGTACAAGTCTATCATACAATTTTAGCAATGAAAGAGTTAATATTGAAATAATATATTTTATATATTAATGTTTGTTCAAGACAACACTGTGTCAAAGACAAGTCTTTTGGCCAATATTTGAACCCATGACAATGTACTCAATTAAGTCATGGTTGCTTTAAACTTGCCAAACACTAGATAATTAAAGCAGTTACCAAAAAAAATTATTTATAGTTTCAGGATTGTTTAACTATAGTATGTATCAAGAAAAAACTACATGTTTTAGTATGCAAAATATGACAAAATTTTCTGTTTTCATCAGCATTTAATGTTTGAAACTATTTTTGCCCTAAAAATGCAGTATTTCAAATGAATCGTTACACATTTACTTGGTAATTCAAGCTGTCTATTAATCTGTCTAGTAAATTGACTGTATATAAAAAATAATTTCAAACACTAAAAAAATATAATATCTTTACTATTTAAAAATAAATTCTGAATTTTCATAATTATATGCTTGAAACTGGAGATGTGCTGTTTTAACTTTTGCAAGTTGAAAATTCTTCACTGGTCTTGCTAATTGCCAGCATAAAACAAGTTACATTCATTTAAATCTTTAAATCACAACTTTGTGGCATAACATTCATAACAAGCCATTATGTCAAAATAAGAATATCAAATATTTTGCAATAATAATAATATTTCTAACTGGCATCATAATATTACCTAACTTATTGTACAGTTTAAATCAACACAAATCTGATTTATATCGGCTCCTAAATAAATTAAAATCTATGCTTCATGGCTACATAAAAAGATCTGAAAAATTAGAAGTCAAATTGAATCAACACTTCGAAAATATCTGCTGTTCAAGCCTAGTGTTTAAGTCTTGCACACAACAATTACCCAAGCCTAGTGTTTAAGTCTTGCACACAACAATTACCCAGTTAAATATCTACTGGATTTTACTTTTGTCAGTATGTTCTTATAAAATCTCTGAAATTCTCTTATACAAACAGGATATTCAATGAGTGTATGTTTAATACTGAATTTATAAAACAAGTTCAATAAAATCATATTATGCAAGCCTTTGGCAAGCATAATATTGTTTTATTCAACATGTTCAATTAATTTAGTATTGAATCTACACAACTATAATATTTTATTTATCACATATTCAAAATAAGAACGGTTTACAGTTTGTGTATAACACCAATGATGTCACATCAGTGTAATATCGTTTATATTAAATGGCTTTATAACCCTCCTTCACTAGGGCTTATGTGATAAGTTTACTTATATTATACAATTAAACAATGCTGGAAATATAAGTAATATCCTACGAAAGCTCAGTCTGAATCCGAGTCATTGTTCCCTATTTTTTCTTCTTCAAACTCGTTCAGTTGTTTTAATACATCAATGTCATTTTCCTCATCTACTATATAATCTTCCTTTGGTAATCTCTCTACAGGCTTCTCCATGGGTTTCACACCTTTGTGCCTTGAGATTTCTTCTTTCTGTAAAAAACAATATATATGATTCTAATATGGCACTTTTGTAACATCAATTTTAATTGGATAATCGTTATGTTGATATAACATATACACAAACAGATATCAATTTATGAAGAAGTTATCACTTTACTTCAAGTAAAACAATTCTACTGTATTAAAAAAGTCATTATAAAGATGTATGACATGACATATATGGCTGTGTATATATGGTTGTTAACAATATAAACTTTGCCTTGCAGCTCAGGTATATAAACTAATTACCGTTGAAACTCAGAACCATTAAGCCTTATTTTAGACATGTCATAACTAATACTATATGTGTGTATTTCACTTGTCTTTCGTATCAATAAATTGTCTAATATAATTTAACAACAGAGTTACACACTCTGGCCTACCAGTCCAGTCGATGGTGACAAACAAATTTTCCTAGTTTCAAAGCAAATTATTTCAAAAGGGTTGTGAAAAAATGGTATTGTACAAAAAATTAACCAAGTGATGACATGGATGGTGAAAGTTGCAGACAACCAAGTGAGAAGGGTATAAAGCTCTCCTTTACAGATTTTCTAAAAGTCAAGTACAAAATGTAAATGTAAGGATAAATATTTATCATATCAAATATATGATATTCTAAAATGCATTATTTTATATGTGAAAAATTTCTTGTGTTTAAAAAAACTTGTTATCAAAATCATGATCATTTGAAAGATAATATGCTATTTGGTTGCAACAAATATACATGCACATAATATGATTCCAAGCTCTCAATATATCATGTAAATGTATACAATATATCTTTAAAGCAGGACTTTTGGAAGTCTCATCTGATTTGTATAGAATAACAAGGTTATAGTTGTACAGTGTTCTGTACAACATGGAACAATAACTGCAAGACTCGTAAACAACCGGCTTGTCCAATATGAATTTCAGTTGGTAACTTACTTTCTGTATTGTAAAGAGAACAAATAACTAACAAATGTTATGGAGTTGTTAATTTTTCAAACCACATCATTCTGTACTATACCTTTTTCCTAATCTCTCTGTGTTTTGTCATTAATGATTTGTCTTCAGCCTTGGCCTCAGCGAACTTCTGTATTTTAGAGAACTCTTCCAAATGTTCCATTGTTCTTGCTCTTGATATAAAACTCTGTAAGACAGCTGTTACAATAAAGAAAATTAACTTTTTATTCAAATGAAGTTTTTGTTACAACAATATGGCATGGTATTCAGTCTGGGACAGACAAAGTCCCAGATTCAGCTTACAGCCACATTCAAGTTATTACATAAATCATTGTTGTGCATTTAAACTTACTTTGAAGTTTTAAGACCGTTTGAAACAAAGATCTATAACATTTCATTCACAAAATTATTAAAAGGGAGTTATGGTTACTTATGTCACAAGGTGAGAAAAATGTCAAGCCTGACCTAAGGATCCTCGGAACACTTTTTTTGAGCTACACAGAACAAGCTTTCTAACCGCTTACACATTTTCTCGCCTAAATAGTCAATTCTCAACTGTGACACATAAATCCTAATAGCAAACGTCTTTCCCTAAGCCTAGATACAAACCTAAGTCACAAGAACAAAGTCTAGGCAAGCCAGCAAGCAGATCAGTGCAGTCATACAGTTGGCATAAATATATTAGCTTTTCATAGTAAAACCTCTGAAATAATCAATTAACAGATGACAGAATACAAATATAAACATGGTAAGTATAGTTTTAAAAGTATTGCTATGTACTATGGGTTAAGAGTTAAATGAGCCATATGCGATTATTTATTATTTATATCAAGACCCTTTCATGTGCCAGAATAGTGAATAGAGCAAGGCAAAGATTTGATTAGTGTAGGAAAATCTATGACAGTCACATATAATAGTATGATACCTGATGAGTCTTCTTGCCTTGACTGTGATACATGCCTTGCTGAAATGCAAGAAAATATTAGCATTAATTTCATAGAATTATTGGACAAGAGAAAAAGATTACAGCATTGAATATAAATTTTTATATTTTCACCTTGATCTTTTGGCCAATAATTGAAAGGTAAATAAATTTCTTATAATGAATATGACAACAAATTAATGTTTGAAATTAGCATTAGTACTAGTGTGATAGCCCGAGATAGGCACAGGCTAAAACGCAGACGCTTATGCAGACAATATAGGTAAGGATATATAGTAAAACGCAGACAATATATATATATAGAGTGTTTTCACAAAACGCAGACAATATAGAATAAGAAGGTGTAAATTACACCCTTCAAAGCTGTTTAGATTTGTAGTTTTAAGATCAAATTTTTCAGATATTAGAGATTACCCAATTACTTCTCCGGCTCCAATTAAATATCAAGCCCGGCTGGGCTACTGCATTTTCAGAGGCAATATAAACAACTTTTTGGAACGAATGTATCATGGGCTGTCAAATAGGTATGCTTGATTGTCTAGTAACGTTATATATAGAACTACATGAGCGGAAGTGTGAATATATCGTTCCTTCAAGCATGCCTAGTAAACCAGAAGGCCAATATTCCCTCAGTTGAACAAGTCAATAACCATATAATATATTACAAACACTGAACATCATCTAAAATGATTGTAACAGAAAATCTATAGGCATTTATAAATGAACACCTTGTGAACTAGGAGGGGCAATTTTCAATCGTTGTTTTATGTCACTTGAGACAAGGCGGGACTCCATTGGCGGATGTAGTTGAATCGACTGCCAAAAATTTGTTGCATAGCTGACATCCTCAGCTGACGACCCATAGAATGTTGTTGTTTCACCTTTTGTTAAATCGACAACTACTGCCATTTTCGGTTACTGATGTAAACAAATCAGTGCGCATATGTTTTGCGCATATCGCTTAAACATTGAAAAAATAATAATAATATATAAAGTTTCCTTTTAAAAGGAAAGGCTTGCACAGTGTTGTGCCTATATCCCAACCCTTTAAAATTGTTTGTTTTGTTGTTGTTTTTTTCAATTTATTATCACAATTTTTTTGAATTACTGTATTTGTGTATCATAAAGGGTTTATTTATTTATTTATTTTTTTTTTTTTTTGAAAAACGAATATTTTTTGTCAAAACGATTTGAAATCTATTCTCTGTTGTATAAAACTAACAAGTGTGCACATTTCATTTCCCCTTTTTCGCAGAGAAATCATTCGTTTGCTTTATAGACAAGTAAATGTACTAAAATACTTCGTTACGTGGTACCAATTAATAGGCTTGTATCAACTACATATGAACTATATGTTACACGATCACAAATACGTATATCAGCACGTGGCAAGGTTAATGATATGCATGGGCTATTTTTAGATTACCTCACCAAAATGCGTTCAGTAGATCTAAATACAACTGGATCATGCGTGATTTGTAAACTAATACAGACAAAAAAAACAATAATAAAAGAAACTAACTTTTGCGTCTTGAAAAACAATTGAAACGGAACAATTTCGTTTATAATTTATTACGGTTTAAACCGATAAATCGAGTAAAAATAGAAATCCTATTTATATAAGCAAACTGGGATTACCGAAGTAACTAAAATAGCTTAGATTTCCGTAATATTACTTCGTCTGATTCCGCAGTATGACGGAATAACCCTAATTGTCACGATTGCAATCGGAAGTACATCGGCTATTATCATTAGTCCGAAGAGTGACGGAAAAGGCCGAAAAGTTGCGATTGGCACGATTTCAGCTGGTTTCCCGTTCAATCATGCACTTATAAATGTAAGCAGAAAACCACCTAACCGGAACAGGTTTTCCAAATGAAATGGCTTGCAGCCGTGGCTGCAAGCCAAAAAGTTTATTAAACGGATTGAAATAATAGAATGCGGCTATGTTCTAGAAACAGTAAAATGTCTTTGTTGATCTTGTTTGTCATATTTTATTTGGTATTGCATGCCTCATATGTTTCAAATCGAGAAACATAACAGTTTCTATTAGTACTGGTGAATTTGTACAAGTATACATGTACACACAGCCAAGTAATGTCTTTCAGACATCTGGAAAAGTGCAGGTTTCTCGATAATTGTTGTTTGTTTGTTTGTTTGTTTGTTTGTTTCATTTTACGCCTTTTTCCAACAGTATTTCAGTCATATAGGCGGGTAGTTTCCTAACCATCGTTCCTGGAGAGTTACACCAGTACTAGACTACCTTCCTCCGCGCTAAACTACCAAAGCATCTCCCGGGGATCGAACCCACGCCAGAGAGGTAACTGGATTAGAAGTCATCGACTCTAACCCCTCGACCACGGAGGCGGCATTAATATCAATTAATTGAGTGAGAATTAAACGAAGGTCGAAATCAAAATACGTAGGGCTTCTTTTAAGTACCTTCAAATAACATAAATATTGTGATTATTGTTTGCTACTTTACCATACATTTGTATGTAGCAAGGAAATATAAGCTACACGTGCAAGTGCTGAAAAATGTTGAGACAGGCTTATATATACTTATATGTGTGGCTTTCATTGTACTTATATAAATATATAGGAAATCAGATGATATTATAAGGCGTTTTCCTATCCAGACCTGTCCTTTCTGTTTGAAAACACTGTCGTGTCCTTTCCTATATACATGCTTAAAATAACTTTCTTATCTTTAAACAATACTTACTTTTTAAGAATTTATTAGGTGTCGAAATGCTAATTAAGTCGTTTACAAGTGAATAATTTGAATTACCTATAAAATGCATGACCAGTAAGGTAGACTATAAATAGCAGTTCAAAGTAAAACGCAAGGATATTTGCATTTTCTTAGATATATATTGTTAACCATTTCTTTAATCTCAAGGAATAATTCAATCAAAGTTACATGTTTATGTGTGTCATGGGTTTAAACGTCCGTATCGTAATTTCGGACGTTGAAATTTACAGCATGTCATCAGACATGCTATTATTTTTAAACTTTAAACATTATTTTGTTTCGGATATTTCAAGCTTCAGTGTTTCTTGAATAGAAGTCCTCTGATTAACATCATCATGATAACATCATCTGCAGCAGCAGTAGCAGCAGCAGCACTTATTAGAGTTCACGTCACAAAAATGAAATATTGACTTACTGACACCATAAAAAAGTATGGGCATTTTGAACATCACACTGAGTTCCGATTACTTCGTACATATAATGGGTTCGTCCGAGTAAATCCACTGGTGCGTTTAGAGTATACCAAGTGGTACCGATACTAAAATACATTTGGTATCATTAATTACCATTTGATATCACTGGTAGGCTATTTAATTACTCTGAACAGCTTTTATCATACTGTTTGTGTCATTGGCAATATAATATACATTTTTACCAAAGGTGAACCTGTGTTGCCAATAGCACCTAAGCGGACTGACCTTGATCTTTAGTTTAGTCCAGTTTATATATATTTTTTCGATAACTTTTATCCAAAAAATAAATTTGTTTATTTTCAAATCTGCCCTTTTTACATTTTGTAAGCGTGCAATATTATTTCAGTCTAATTTAATCAATTTAATTTCAATCAGATAAGGATCCCCATTTTGAATGACGTCATAAGTATTATAAGACTTGCCAATGTATAGCACTTCTCTGTTTGGAAATTAATCTTGTGTCCGTAAACATTTGTACTATTGGTATGACAATTTATGGTAAGTGAACCCAATGATCTTACTGTGAACACACCCATACTAATGCCATGACATCTTAAATATACTAATGACGTCGTTCAAAACGGCGGTTCTGAACTGAGGTTCATTGTTGTATGAAACTTAGTCTAATATCATGTCAGGCTGAAGTGATGTTGTACATTTGCAAAATGTACAAAAGTGCATGTTATTTGCACTACAATACATTACAATAAAACATGACCAAACTAAGGACAAGATCAGTCATCTGGGGTGCCATTGATACCAATTATGGTTCACCTTTGGTACCAAAGTTTATTAAATTGCCAATGAAACAAATATTATTATTAAATATATTCCGAGTATACTGTTTGTTAATCAGTGGTATCAATGGTATTAATTTTATCAATGGTATTTTAGTTTTGGCGCCACTGGGAATACTGAAGTACTACTAAGTCGGAGTATCAAAGTAATGTGACCTACATAAAATAATGTAATCGATTGTCAAACTGACCTACAACTACCAGATTTAGAGCTAAACTGAAATCGCAGTATAAGTAGTATATACTCTTTGACCTTTATCTGAACGTGTTCTTTTCATTTACGTATGACCTAATCTTTGAAGCCAAGTTTTTGTCCAAGCTTTTATGCAGAATTGAACTTTTACATAAGTTGAATTACTTTTACATACTCTTTTTGTTGATTTTTATTGTATGGTTGAATTTGTTCATGGGAGATCTATGAACTAACAACATCTCTGATGCCCCTAACACCGCTTTGAGCGGTAACATATGATTCAATATACAGGTGATCACGATAAGTAAAGAATCAATGAAGAAATGTTTTCTCTTTGTATTTATTCCCTTCAATGGACTGGAGCCCGTGGGGTATTAGAACGCAAATGGAGGGGCAAGTGACCTGCTTTTGGTACATTGAGGGGTTCATGGTCTGTAAGCCGTATATGATTGGTTAATCAATCTTGTTTCATTAGTGATTGGTTATTTTTTCCATGAATCATTTTTAATAAAACATATAAATAAAAACAGCTAAAAAAGGATAATATGTCGTATAATTTGATTCTCGAAGTAAATCTGGACTACCTTCTTCGACACTCATTCTACTTATAAGAACCCTGGCTTTTCCACATATGTACTGTACAACAGTTGTCACTTGTTAATTAAGACTCAGTCGCGTACTGTATGAAAGACATGTCCAAGGTTCGAAACCCGATGAAAGTCTATGATAGATGTGGCTATGTTTGAAACATCCCCTTTTAAGCGTGATAAGACAGACAATTATTCTGTGGTAGAATTTTAGAATTTAGGTCGTCCAGAACGGCAAAATTGAAAATGTTGAATGCTCGGTTATATTGAGCCTGATTATCCTGATTGTGAACTGCTGTACCTTCAATACATGTACACTATAACAGTGCAGTAAGGAATTCAAGCGCACTTATTTATTATCAATAGCTATAATCTACTTTTAGAAGCTGTGAACTATTCATTATTCTAAAAATCTATTTCAATTATCTAGTTTATTTGGTGCAGGTTTATTTATTGAAGTACCGTTTTGATCAGGTTTTATGGACAGTTTATACATTAATGGTTACTTAGAGGCGTTTTTTAGAATTATCATATTCAGCTCCAACTGTGATTTATTTTATTTAATTTAGGTTTAAAACACAAAAATGTTTATAGAATGAATAGAATAAGGTATTCCAAATTCATTTATATGACCAAACTCAAGGTCTCAAAAAAGCTGCAATAAATTATATTATAGAACATTGACAAGGAATAGAAATAAACAATCTGACAACGAGTAGAAACAAAAACGAAAAGTTACAATTTAGCAACTCTTTACAATGAAATTACATCTGTAAGTAGCAGATCAGCATTAATATACCGCACACTAAAGTAGAAATTTAATAATACGTTGTATTAATTGTAATTTATCACATTTGCATATACATTGTATAATTAATTTAAAAAAAAACTCAGATTTTCGGAAGGAAGTGTTCTATGATATAGAAAAATATCAGAGTCTTAAGTTGCTGTATGTTAGGTAGGCAATCAACTCCATGATACAGTACTCATGCACTACTACTGCTGTAGTATTACATCTAGAACAAATGTGTAAAGTAAATTTTTCAAATTGAAAACAAAAATCATACGATATCTTTATAAAGAAGTATTTAAACTTGGCTGAACAAAGCTATTTAACTCTGCTATGACGACGTCTTTGTTTTATACTCAATCAAGAATCCAAACACTTTTTTCCCTGAATAATGCATTTTTTATCACCATAATATATTCTCAAACTTAACAAATATTTTTCTATTGACAGTCAATATAAAATATTTTCTTTCATCGAAAATACAATACAGTTTACTTACGTATTACATCCTTTATATATTGCCTAAATTATAGGTCTATATACACAGCTAATAACAATGTTATGGTAGAAGTCAGCTAATATATTCTTTAAATTGCCGTGAATATCTGTAAAGGGTAAACTAATAAAATGATATTCGTTGTCAAAGTGAATAAATGCTACATTATTTTTTTTTCGTGAAAATTAAAAAAAAAATAACTTCTGTAATATTTCTATTTGCCTTCCTGTAAGTAAACGATCAGTAGAGTATCGGAGACTGTAACTCCTATAGTGCAAATCTATGATTAATATGTGTTACACATGACACATATTTCCCGTAGCTTCTGATGTAGGGAAATTTTGAAGTCAAGAACAAAATTGTTGAATGTATTGATTATAAATGGAACTGCTCACTGTTTGTAGCTGTGAACTATATCATTGTTTTCTTTATTTTAGTATGATTGCAACACTATAATTGGACCCGGTTTGTTTATTTATTAAATCAACGTTTGAAGTAGATTTCATAAACTGTTTAATATATTTAAGGTTTATTTGAAAATAAACTTATTAAACAATTGATTTAACTTCTCTTACGCATTACATATAAGTGTAAATCGTAAACTAGTATTGCTAGTAGGTGTTGATTAAACCAATATATTTTCACTTCTCAATTAATTGCAACTACTGCTTTTGTTTGTACTTATAAAGTTTGCTTTAGACGACCACAGAACTCTTTCGTGATGCCCTTTTAAAATAACTTCTACATGTACAGTTTCTCGTTATTACAAATGCAACATGACAATATACAAATGACAATAACATACACTCAGAGGCACTTATAACCCGACACTTACATTTTTCTGTATAAATACGTTATTTGTTGACGAATTTTGTTCAAATTTGGACCTTACAAAATTCAACATATCATACTTACTACTTAGATTTATATCTATAATTCATCGAAAGGAAAATCGAGAAAATAACAAAACAAATAGGCTACTGCAAAATGAAAAATCACAGAATGGCTGTAAATATTTGTAGCAAAATGAACAGTCTCTGAATCCCATAACCAGTTCAAATACTTTGTGTGTCCTCCCAATTGTCTATAACATTGTAAACACCTTTGTCTCATAGTTCTCCATTCCTGAAAAAAGTGCTTGCTCGAGTTCTAGCAAAATGCGAGGGGCTTCTGGTCGCTTTCTCACACGCCTGTTCAATTCAGCCCACAAGTGTGATGTTAAGATCTGGTGGCGTGGGAGGAAGGAGTTGCTGGAACTCGAGCAAGCCCTTATGTAGTGATGGAGAAATATTCCCCAAGCTTTCATGAGAAACTCTATGAGACAGGTGTTTACAGGTTGTTATATAGCCATGGGAGGACACACAAAGTATTTGAACTAGTTAACTTATATTTAGAGTTAAATTATGCACAGCGCGTTAACTATAGTTACCTGCACTCACAGTGTCGTTGATTAGCTAATTTTTTAGGGGTTACTTAAGAAAGAGATAACGATAGAAAAGTCATATTCAGATGCTTTTACATTGGTTACTTTTTCTCGGTTAGTTTTGCCTATGAGGAATGCCACCTGGTCGATACTCTTTCTATCATATACATGTAATACATATTCTTGAAAATTTAAGCAGAATGTTTTGAGCGGAGAATTGACTTTTTTCGATTTCCAAGTCTTCACAGCTTTTATTCAAAATTAAACAAACCACCGGGCCAAACAACTATCCACATTTTCTGCAAATAAAAAAAAGCAATATATTGTATGTGATAAATGAAAAAAGTAAAATGTCAGCTGTGGTAAAAAAGAAATACTATGAATAGAAATAACTGCAGCGCTGAATTATTTAAGTAATATTATACATGTATATGGGTATGTTAAATATATTGTAACATTTATAAGTCGCAATGTCGCAATTCTGATATGAAACAATTTTATATTTTATAACAAATACGAAAACTTGTGCCTTATGAAAAAAACTGTTAGAAATGAAAATATATTAACATCTGATATTATGACAAAATTCTTATCCATCCATCTGCTCTCACACAAAAAAAAAACGTGCAAATTGGAGCTGAAAGAATCTCGGGAATTAGGACGAAATTTGAATTTCTATTGACGTTGAAAATATAATTTGATTTTGTGACTTAAAGTCCAATAAAAAAGCAGTAAAAATACCATATCATCAAGAAAGATACATAAATTCCCTTTAAAAGAAATAGGTATAATAGATATAAATATTAATTTGTTCATGTAAATTCCAGCCAAAGATGCTATACTTTGGCCAAATTGTAATAGTATCGCTTTGTACATGTATATAAAGTACAAATTTTGTCATGTCTTTCCTGCTAACTTACTTTTGTCAGATTGCTTTTAATGTATAAGTTTTGTGATGTTGTTTCTTCTGCTACTGGTTTACCAAATTATACTGTATTATTTTGTATATGGTAGTATTTTCTGCTAAAATATTGTAATTTTATCAACTTGTATATAGTACAGATTTTGTGATGCCATTTCTGTACTTTAAACCAGATTACTTTTTTTCGATTTTGTATAGCCTTCAAGTTTTGTGATGATTTTTTCTGCTAAAAGCAGTACTTTTTTGCCAAATTATATCTGTATTATTTTGTATATGGTTCATTTACTGTGATGCTTTTTCTGATAAAAGCAGTACTTTGGCCAACTTATAACAGTGTGCGTAATTTTGCCAGATTGTACTTTTATTAACTTGTATTACGTACAGATTATGTGATGCTTTATTACAATTGTATCATTCTGTATAAGGTACAGATCTAGATGTGATGTCTTAAATTCTGTTCAAATCAATACTTTTGCCAAAATAATGGTAATAGCATGAAATTGTAAAACATATACTTTTTGTGATACTTGTTATGCTTAATACAGCATTTGTGCTATATTGAAATTGTATCATTTTGTATATCGTACAAAATGTGTGATGCTGTTTAATGAACTGTTTGGATTGATAGGTAATATACTCGTTTGTCATGTCATGTTTTAATTATGTATTTGGTATGTTTTAAACCACGCCTGTTTTTCCTTTAGTTCTTTTTCTCTCTTAACTCTTGTATTCCGTTAGATGTGCCTGTTATTATATGATATTCTTGAAGTCAATGAAAGCATTATGAATTTGTTGAGGAATGTTGTATATGAATAAAATGGACAAAAATAAGAGTCGTTAAGTCTGTTCCGTATGCTATGTGAATTTCAACAAAGACGGAGAGAGAAGCCTTGCAAAGACGGGATTGGGCTTGTGTGTTTTTTTTTTGTTTGTTTTTTTTTTGGTGTGGCAGGCATTGGTTGTTATTGGCGTAAGTATATTCTACAATAACTGTGGGGACACTGATGTTTAAATTTGAACCGTCTGCATCGATATAACATACCTTGAATTTTTCAGAAATTTGTATACTTGAAGAGCAAATGGGGCTTGTGATTTATGGCAAACCCGTGAACCCAGATAGAAAGGCGGTCAAACCTAAAACTGTTGACCTAGTTAAAAGATATGCGAAATGTGTAGAGTTAAGAAGATAAACACTGAATGGCGGTTATTATTGTAACATAATACATGTTGACATTGGGTCAAAAAGAAACAAAATGAAACATTGTATGATAGTCATAAAAGAAGGTCGTTTTAGATATATATAACCGAGGCCAAATCGAATCGGATACATGTATAAAATTTGGATCAATATATGTACATCTTTTTCAATTCATGTTTATATATAATAGGGTAGATATCTATCTAAGTAGATTCACATGAAGCGTGAAAGAAGTTAGATGAATACGTATACATGTGTATCTTTATTGAAAACGTGTGTCTTGGAGTTCTAATGAATAGAAACGTGCGCATCTTCTTGGACAATAAAAGTGTGGCATGAAGCGTTACAGGGAGTGCCGCAGAACTGGCGCAGGTGCCTATATACGGATAATCTTTGGTTTTGTCGCTCGGGATCGATATTAAAAGCTATATACAGCATGAAAGCAGACGACACAAGCAATATTACTGCCAGTACCAAGATAAGATGGAAGTATTCACAATTTTATATTTTGTGACGTTCAGTTTAGTTTTAGTGCATGCTTACAACATAAATTTGACGTCATGTCGGACTTGCTCGAACCGGGTATGTATAAATATAAACACCTATGTTTACTTATCTATGACATTGTATATATATGTGTAGGGTCAAAAATGGTTTCGGCAATAACAAATAACAAATTTTTGAAATACCGTAGTTATAGTAAACGTGACAGTTTGGCAATTGAGACTTATTTTAAAAAGAAGAATTTGGGAGTTTGAAGTCTGCGCGTTATCTTGGTAGTTGTTTATATGCTACGTGCGCAATACTTTTTATGATTGCATGACTGAAACGGCTACAATTATTCATTTTTATTATTGCATATGCAAGAACAGAATAATTGAATATTAAATATAACGTTGCGCTATTAAATATAACATTGTATAGCAGTTATGTATAAAATTTAGATCAATATAATTATTTAACAGTACATCATTCTCAATTTATGATTATATATAGTAGGGTTTTTTATAATATAAAATGAACATAACATATATAAAATATAGATTTAATTTTGTGTAAAATATAAATGTTATAAACTTTTTTAATATGGGTGATTTTGAAAAAAAAAGTGTTAAAACATAGTGCTAAAATTGCTTACTTTTGGTGAAATGATTATTTTGAAATGACTATATTTAGTTCAGGGAATGAAATGTTTTAAATGGTTAAATATTTAATACATTGCATATTTATGAAATATTTTATGTTTTGAAACAACATGTGATAAGTAATAATTCTTGACTGATGTGTATTTTGTATGAACTATTTAATGTAAATAAATAACAAAACATGTTAATGATGTTATGGATTTTTTTTCTATATATGATTATATATATATTCTACAGGCTGTCTTAATATGCAGTAAAAGTGATATTAAAAATATAAGGTTTTAATAGAATACAATACAGTTTATGGACAGAAATAGATGAAAAACCATCATGCTTATTCTTAAGCAGTTTGTGTAAAATGTAATGTACATGAAAGTGTTAAGGTACAAACATTATAATTATAATGTATAATGTAGTTTATGTAAAATATGATATACATGAAATAGTCTGTACATGAAAAAGTTTATTTTATGTATATAGAATAATCTCTAAGCATAATGCAATCATTTGTACATGAAATACTGGCTAGCTGAGCAAAAATATTTGAAGAAAATCAAACTTGAGAAAAATTTACTAAGATTTTAAGAAAGGTCAGAAGATTCAAGATTCAAGTAATAATGTTCATATTATGTTCAATTAACAACTAACCACCATCCTTCTATGTGTGACTGATATGGTAAGGTATATTTTTGTATATTTTGACCTCTTTTTGGTACTTAATTTGCTTGGATTTTAAGAGCATAGTGCAATTTGGAGATTACTTTCTTTGTTCACTTCACAATATTTTACTTTTGAGTATATTTTCAACATAAGCATGATATTTTCAGCATAAGCATGAATCTCGAGGCATGCTGCTTTAAGCACTTATTGTACATGTAATTTTAGTTAAAATGCAGTGTACATAAAATACATATTCTTAGTAAAATGTAATGTACATGAAATACATACTCTAAGTAAAATGTAATGTTCATGAAATACATACTCTAAGTAAAATGTAATGTACATGAAATACATACTCTAAGTAAAATGTAATGTACATGAAATATGTACTCTAAGTAAAATGTAATGTACATGAAATATAAGGTCTGAGTAAATGTAATGTACATGAAATGTAAAGTGAAAGTAAAATGTAATGTTCATGAAATATAAGGTCTAAGTAAATGTAATGTACATGAAATATAAAGTGAAAGTAAAATGTAATGTACATGAAATATAAAGTGAAAGCAAAATGTAACTAATGTACATGAAATATATAGTCTAAGTATAATGTAATGTACCTCACGAAATAATGGATTGTTTTGAAAAAGTATGAGTGAATTATAATGCTACATTTTAATATAAAATATTTTAGTTAGAAAAATTGAAATCCCATTAATTTTGTTAGGAAACATTAGTGGTGAAATTATTTTTACATGCACTAAATTATCTTAATAATTTGAACACTATAAGATGCTTTAATGATTTAAACAAGTCAAATCCATTAGGATAAGTTGTAACTTGTATAAATTAAGCAAGGTAGGGGTTTAAAGTGAAAAATATTTACTATTTCTTGGTAAAAACAGTCCAAACCAAAAATCACCAATCAGTTACTTTAATTATGGACATTTCTTAATACTTAAGTATCAAACAATTATATTTCTTAAGATATATACCAAATATTAAACATTCCAGTTATACAATTTTTCTATAATATCAATGCATAAGAGAGGGTTTAAGTGAAACATTTAATAAAAAAAGTTTAATTTTGGAAACATACTCATTTAATTTTGACTAACTGTAACTTTTTGTTTTTGTTTCTTACATAATATATGTATTTTGTTTGCATGATTTAATTCACCTAATGATATTTCATTGACTTTTCTCACTTAATTTTTCATTAAAAAACAATTTTTTTTAGATTTTATAAAGATTCTAAAATGCTTTTATGATATCTAAAACTTTAATTATTATTGTTTTCATTATAAAAGGTCAATGATTGAATTTTATAGAGATATAATACTATTGATAATAGCAGAGCTGTTGGAATGTAAACAAGCATTTTTATATAGTAACAAAGGTATGTGACTAAGTGACTTCCAATTTTTGATGTTGTTTACTATTTAATCAGTGTTATGTTATACAAAATATTTGTGAAAAATGACCCAAAATTTTTACACTCATTTGAATAGTAGTAGCATTTATTACATGCTTTCCGGTGGTTTATAGAAATATATCAGTGATATAAAACTGGTAATTTCACTGTTTGAAACAGTGAAATTACCACTTTGATAATTTCACTCTTTTGAATTTAAGCCCCTTTCGTTGTTTAAGTGAAATACCAGCTTGCACAGTACTGGGTACCAACTTAATGACGTGACGTCGTAAATGACGTCAAGCTGTATTATTATTTGGCGCGCTTTTCATTGAGTATTAGGTTTAATGTATTTTTAAAATGTTTCTTTGCATATAATAAAAAGAAAATTTGTTTAGTTTAGTGTAAGATCGAAATATATTTCACCTTGTGAACACCAAAAGTTCATATTTCACTCGTGGCTGCGCCACTCATGAAATATACCTTTTGGTGCTCACTCGGTGAAATATATTCCGATCTTACACCGAACTAAACAAATATCCTCTATATAAATATGATTTTCAAGTCATTTCCGAGTATATTTCTTATTTATCCTTTGCATATATTTCTGTTTTAAGTGTCCCAGCTGATCTATGGAATAAAATGAAACAGATTTTATTTTCATTGTTTAAATTGATTGTTTATTTTCATTGATTGTTATGGTACATGAATAAAATGTAAAGAATTGCTGATTTGCACAGAAACAAGCCTTAGATTTAGTGATGATATCGATAAATAACAAAACATTAATACAAAAATAATCTGATCAAAATGAGGATCAACTTTAAGATCATAATCAGTATTTGGATCAACTGTAAAATGCCCATATCTTACAAAAATAACAATAAATATATTTTAAAATTGAAAAAAACATGCTATTTTAAGTACAGTTCCTTCAAGTTAATATTAAATATTTATTCAATGAGGATAGACAATGGAGAATTTTAAATGGAGTTTTTAAATTTGATCCTAATCCTGAACTTTAAATCTTTAATAAGTAAACACAGGGCCATGATATAAGTATAGATCAGACTTTAATTGGGTTATAATTGTTTACCTTGACTTGATACAATTTGAGCCACGTCACGACAAAACCTGTGAACATAATGTGTTTGCGACCAGTATGTATCAAGACCAGGCTGCACATCCGTGCAGTCTGATCAGGATCCTTGCTATTTGCTATCAGTTTCTCTACTTGTAATAGAGTTGGTAAGCGAACAGCATGGATCCTGATCAAACTGCGCAGATGTGCAGGCTGGTCTGGATCCATGTTTGTCGCAAACGCACTATGTTGGTTTTGTCGTGACGCGGCTCATTTTAGCATTTAAGTTTTAGATGATCTTATGATTATGACATCTACATAATTACAAATAACAAACAAAATTACATTAAAGCATCATGGCTCAATATTCAAGCTTACTTTTATTATTTTCATGAAAGTTTTGAAAATGTATTATAAAGTAGAATATTGTGAAGTGAACAGAGAAAGTAATATATACATTAATGCTAGGGCACTTACAATCCATGAGGATTACCAAAAAGATGTACTTTGTTACACATGCCATAGAAAAACAGTGATTAATACTTCAAAATCAGTCATTAATTGCACATAACATGTAAATTATTACTTGAATCTTGATTGTTTTTACTTTTATTAAAATCTTCGTAAATTCTCTCAAGTTAAGATTTTCTTGAAATATTTTGGCTCATCTTGGGGCATGCAGCTTTGAGTTTTATAAGCTGGATCATTTAGTTCATACAGAATTTGTTTACTTTTGATTAAGCTTATATAGACAATTTTGTTACACAATTCTGGAAGTAATTTGAAACAAATAAACTGGAAATAAAGGAAAAACTTATTAATGGGGAAGATTGTTTTGTCAGTTTACCTGCAGGCAATATGGACAATGTCATGTTTGTTCTCGAAATAGTTAGAATAAGAATCTGCATCGCTTTCAAAATTGAGAAAGCTTGCCTATGATTGGCTGTTTGAAAGGTCATGAGAAGGTGACAACCGATTGGTGGTGGACTTCAGATCTTAACGCATAGTGTTGTTAAGGAGCTGATTTTAATCAGATTGACCTTGGGTGTTACAAACTTAAAGCAACACCCGGGGGTCAAAACCACCTTGCCTGCTGGAGCTGATTTTAATCAGATGAGGGCTATTTCCTTCTTTGAAATAATGCTCAAAGTTCCACTTCAAACTTGCAGAAATATGATTATTAAATAATATTTAGTAATATTACTGAGCACACTTTCTGGGTAACTGACAATTGTCAGAGGACTCAGTAGCACTACTTCTAATCTTAGAACTTTTATTATATCAA